TGGAAAGGGCTACAGGGAGAAAAGGGAGGAAGGCACATGATACAATTATATTTTAATTTCAAAAAACAGAAAATATTTTAAATGATAAATGTCAAAGAGATATATACCTTACCTTTATATAAATCAAATAATTAGACACTATAATTAATAAAAGCTATCATTTTTAAAGCCTCAGAACATAGGTGATACATTAAGTTTAATGGATATATGTAATACTTGTAAGGAATATATTGCTAAGCATTATCAAAAGAATAAGCACACATTCACGGATATGAAGATGAGATTGCTAACACACAAATCCCTTAAAGTCAATGAAATCTGTTCATTCTTTTTGTGAAATTTGACAGATTTACCATGGAAGAAGAGAGGACAAAAGGAGTATAAGCAATCTTAAACAAAATGAAGGACCATTTTCTCCTCCTCTCAAGCTATATTACAAAGTTACAGTAATTAAAAGGCCATTATCTTCGTACAGGCAAGAACAACTGAACAAATAAAAAAAAGCCTGAAAATACATACATATGTGAAAATTTGGAATGTGAACAATAGCATTATAAATCAGTAGAAGGATTCAATAAACAGAGCCAACTGGATACAAAGAGCAAAAGTAAAAGTAGAACCCTGTGTAAGTAAGAATGGACTGCTTATGGAGGAAAGAACAAAATTTAAAATTCTCTTAAGACAACAGAATAGAAATTTTTCTTAAAATCATTTATCTTAAGTAAACAATGTTAAGATATTTTGCATTAAAAATGTTTTAAGAGACATTACCATGAACAAAGTAAAAAATAAACACCTACTCAAAGACGCTATTTGCAACTAATATAGCAGACAAAGGATTAGAATCCAAACTACAAAAACAACTATAAATGAAGGGAAAGAAACAATGTATCTTACTCACTGACCTTGTGGGAGAGGGTGTGGTGATATATTATTTATGATTTATTAAAGTTTGCTTGAAGTTTCAGAAAGCAAAGTCAGCCACAAGCCATAGAAGTCCGAACATGCCTTTAATCCCAGCAGCCAGAAGCTAGGAGGTGGTGGTACACACCTTTAATCCTAGGACTAAGCATTAAAATGTAGACGGATCTCTGTGAGTCCAAGGCCACTCAGATCTACACAAGATTGATCCAGTCCTGAAGAGAAACAACTCACACAAAGATGATCTCACAACCTGGGATTGCACGCCTTTAATCCCAGCATTAGGGGGGTATACAGGAGCAAGATCTCAGTATCAAGCATTTTTTCTCCAGGCACACTGAGGATAGGAGGGATTCATTCTCCAGCCGCATTGAGGACAAGAAGACACTGAAGTTTCAGGATTCTCCAGCTACGCTAAGGACAGGCAGCAGGATCAGCCTGAGGTAGCAGCAAGAGCTAGTGGCCTGTTACTTCGCTTTTTTGCCCTTCAGCTTGAAGCTTGTGGTAGGACTTTTACTTTTCGTGTTACATCATCCCAAACACAAAGATTTTAGCTAGAACTGATGAACACTACAACCATCAGGCTCAGCATAGGTCTTAGACTTATATTAATTAGTAAAACAATAATAAATAAATAGGTTGTTCCCTTCTGCAACTGGATAGATGATGTCTACAGCCTATACCCCTTGCTGTCTCCCACCAAAATACAAACACCTAACTCTATCCCCATATACTTTAGCCCAACTGTCCTGGATTGCTTTCTGTTGCTATGACAAACACCACAACTAAAAATAACTTGGGGAGAAAAGGACTCATGGTAGCTAGTAGGCTATAGTCCATCAAGGGAGACCAAGGCAGAAACTTGAAACAGAAACCAATGGAGGAAGGCTCACTGGCCAGCACCTCAATTTCACCTTATGGTGGGACAGCCCCACTACATCAAATAGCAGTAAGAATATGCCTCCAAACATAAAGGCAGGACAATCTGATCTAGACCATTCTTCAATTGGGGTTCTTACACAGTCACTCCACATATGTGTCAAGTTGACATGGGTCTAGAAGAAAACAATGAAGACATACAACAGAACTCAGAGACGGCTTTCCAAGCATGCCTCTGTCCTTTTAGCAGACTGTTTACATGAGTCCACTTTTTTTGTTTTCAACACAAATGTTTCCCAAAGAGCCATGTGTTAAGGATGTGGTCCCCAGTCTGCAGCACTATTGGGAGTTGTGGAACCTTGAGGAGGTAGCATCCTTAGGAAAATAGGCCATTGGAGGCATAAATTTAAAGGACCCTAGTCCCTTCTGTCTCTTTTTGCTTCATAGTCGCCATGAAGTGAGTAACCTCCTCTACGACATACTCCCAAGATGGTGAAATACCAAACAACCATGAACTGAAATGCCTTAAACTATAAACCAAAATAAACCTAATCCTTCTTAAAAGCTGATTTATCTCAGGTGTTTGTTACATCAAGGAGAAACTATAGTTTAATTTCTATAAATTACAACAAATAATTTGATGAACTTATTTAATTAAGACCTAAGCAAAAATTAGTGAAGAGAAGGGCAATACTCATTTTAAGCTTTTAAATAAATAAATTAGCCCATAAGTAATAGGGCCATAAAAGAACATTCTGAAATCCTAAAATGAATTTAATTAACCTAAATAAACCCTAACAACTCAATCTAATACATGTCATTTAATTAAAAGCAGACACACATCAAAACAATGACTCAATGATAAAAAAAACTGTATATGTTCCACAAATATATAAGCTTATTTATTCTAATTGCTAAATCTTGATAATTTAGCAAAACGATGCATAAATCAACACTAATGCTGAAAAGTAATGTTTTGCTGTTGGACAGCCCAGTCATTATGAACTTAGATGTCATTCTGATAAGATGCTGGAAACAAGCTGGGCCTGGTTGTGCAGGACTGCGATCCTGGCTGATCACAGGCTGAATCAAAAAGACCACATGTCCAATGACCACTAAGGCTACAGAATGAGTTTAAGACAGTCTTGACAGCCCTGGCTATCATAGAACTAACTCTGTAGCCCAGACCAGCTTTGAACTTAGAGAGATCTGTCTGCCTCTGCCTCCAGAGTGCTGGGACTAAAGGCATGTGCCACCACCGAATGCCATCTATTCCAGTTTCTTGAGACAAATGCTTAAACTTGTCAAGACTGTCCCACACTCATTCCGAAGCCTAGGTGGGCTTGGATTTGTGGTCTTCTTGCTTTAGCCTTGTGATCAGCTTCCAGCAAAATTCCTAGCTCCCTTCCCTCCCCTCCTCCCACTCCAGCAAAAATAATAATAATAATAATAATAATAATAATAATAATAATAATAATATACTAATTCCAGTTCCCCCTCCCTCCCCTCCTCCTGCTCCCCCACTTTCTCCTTACTCCACTCCATCCCCATTTGTTCCTCAGAGAGGGTAAAGGAGTCAACGAAGTCTGTCCCATCACCACCACACTGAGGCAGGACCAAGGCCCTCCCCGGTGTCTAGGCTGAGCAAGGTATCTCTTCATAAGAAATGGGCTCCAAAAAGCCAGTTCATGCATTCATTAGGGATAGATCCTGGTCCCACTGCCAGTAGCCCCACAAACTGGCCAGGCCACTCACTGCCACCTGCATTCAGGGGGCCTAGTTCAGTCCTACGCAGGTTCCCCAGCTGAAAGTCCAAAGTCAGTGAGCTCCCACTAGCTTGGGTCAGCTGTTTCTGCGGGCATCCCCATCCTGGTCTTGATCCCTTTGCTCATATTATTGCTCCTCCCTCTCTTTGACTGGACTCTGGGAGCTTGACCCAGTGGTTAGTGGTGGATCTCTGCATCTGTTTTCATCAGTTACTGGATGAAGATTCTATGATGACAACACAGTAGTCCTCAATCTGATTACAGGGAAAGGCCAGTTCAGGCACCCTCTCCACCATTACTTAGGGTTTTATCTGGGGTCATCGGTGTGTGTTTCTGGGAATTTCCCGAGTGCCTGGTTTCTCAATGATGCCACAATGACTCCCTCTATCAAGATAACTCTTTCCTTGCCCTCGCTCTCTGTCCTTCCCCCAACTCAACCATCCAGTTCCCTCCTATTCTCCCGACTCCCTTCCCTCCCTCTACCCTCCCTCCGCTGCTACTAAGAAAATCTTGTCTGTTTCCCCTTCTTAGGTGGATCCATGTGTGTCTCTCTTAGTCCTTTCCAGCAAAAAAAAAAAAAAAAAAAAAAAAAAAATGTGGGGGTGGGGGTTGTTTGTTTTTATTTTCAAGATGGAGCTCAAACTCCTTTAATCCCAGCAAGATTCTTAATGGAATTATTTCATCAAAGTCCCACCGAGTTCATCAGTGTTATCACCAATATAATTTGTAAAACAAAGATAAAGAACTTGCCCCATTGTAGGTAAGAGAAAATCCTCATATCTAGCATAGCTGCTGTTGAGAACCTCTGTAGACTTCTACAGAGATGAAAGTGGATATATTTGTGTGTAAATGAGCAAGAAGATAGGACAGTCCTCCATAAAAGCCACCAGTCCTAGAAAAGTCAGGACCAAGAGGGATTAAAGTCTGGCTTAACATTCACCACGAATTGCACCCTCTAGGAACTTCCATTAATTCAGAACACCATAGACTGAGATAGTAAAGGCCAGGTCACAGAGCATCCAGCACTGTAAAGGTGCTTGTAAGATTGGTATCAAAGAAGTCATTTTCTTCCTCACCAGGTAAAAGAAACAAAACAAAGCTATAATCAATCAAAACATGACTTCAAACCTTTATGGAACACCTAACTTTACAAATCTTCAAGTCTATGTCACATAGATTTCATCCTCTAAAATGAGATTCATGATCATCCTCTGAAGCTAAAAAAGCAATCTCTCATTACATTTCAGCACAATTCCCGGACTGATTTCTTTCCAAAGGGCAGAAAATATATACATAATAACCATCTAACATTTCAAACCCTGCAGGAAGAGAACTAGCTAGGGTTCCCCTGCAAGTGCTTGAGAATCCCAAAGGCAGGGAGAAGAGAGCTTCAATATCTTTGCAGGAGTGAGCCTTTGCACAGGCTGCTCTTACCAGCATGTCGGTGGCACTAAGGTAGTGCTTGCTGGCCATGCACTGTTCCAGTTTTTGAGGCACTTGTTTAATGTTCTCAATTTCATCCAGCAGGTTCAGTACATGCTTATGCTCAATTCCTTCAATCCACAGTTTACGAAGCTCATCCCGTTTGCAGTGCAACAGCATCTTGCAGGAGAGTAGATTCTCTTTTACCTATAATAAAACATATTGGACCTTGAGTCAATTCAAAGTCTTGCCAACCTAAACCACTACCCTGGTGAGTATTCCTCATTGGTCTTGTTGGTGTAACAGTCCCTAATTCCCTCCCACTTATTCCCTTTGGTTGGTCCCCTTGCTAAATTCTAACCCTGATTCAGGTCACTTGGATGCCTCACTACCTCCCTGTGTTTCTATCTGCTCCCCCATGAAATGAGAAAACTACTTCTAGCATACCTTTGAGTGAACATACGAGTAATTACAATGGATATTAGGAACTCTGAAAATATGAAGCACCATATAAAGGTGGGGCCATCTCAACATGGGAATGATCAGGATGGGAGTCTAGTACGAGCATTCCTTCCCCATCCTCCTTGCAGCTGAAGGCCACAGGACCCATGTTTACAGCTACAGACCTCCAGCCAGTTTACAACCAAGGATCTCAATGCTCTTCCCAAAAGGCCACAATAAAATTAGACTGAGTCTTGAAAAAAAAGTAAACACATGTAGAGATAATCTGAAAGACACATGACAGCTTTTTTTTTTTTTTTTTTTTTTTTTTTTGCCTCCCATTTTCAGCATCATCTAGTAAATTTGATATTAAATAGGCAATCTCAAACTTTTGGAAGAAAGGGGAACGGGGATTTGGAGATTGACAGTAAACACAATCACATCATAAAGGTTTCTATTTTTTTTTTTTTTTTTTTTTTGGTTTTTCGAGACAGGGTTCCTCTGTGGCTTTGGAGGCTGTCCTGGAACTAGCTCTTGTAGACCAGGCTGGCCTTGAACTCACAGAAATCCACCTGCCTCTGCCTCCCGAGGGCTGGGATTAAAGGCATGTGCCACCACCACCCAGCCAAAAGTTTCTATTTTTTACCCTATAAAATTCTCAATGTTTCAAACATGGAAAAAGAATTTTTAAAAAAACAATACAGTCTCATGTAGCTCAGGCTGGCTCAAACTCACTGGCCTTGTCCTGGTAACCCTACTGCCTCCTTCTCCCAAGTACTAAGACTCAAGCACGTGCTGCCTCACTTAAGTTTTTATGGGGACATTTTTAAATTCACTATCATCTGCAAATCACATAAGTACTTCCAAACACTGGTGACAGCCCTAGCATATGCTTCTATTTGGAGCTCAACATTTATTTCGTTCTGTCTCTATTTCCCCTGAGGTGACTACAACTCCGGTGTAGACTTGGTGCATTCTGACAGCCATGTACACCTATATGATCCAAACTGTCAACAGGGTGAGGCATGGCCATCCCCATCCTCTCCCCCAAAATAATATCAAATCATTTCAAATAAAGCAACACTTGAAGGAAGGATGACCAAAAAAAAAAAAAAATTATGACTCATCTTCTAAAGGGAAGGAAATCCTGACATTTACAACAGCACGGTTGAAACTGGAAGGCACCATGCTGAGAGAAAGAAGCCAAGCATACAAAGAGAATAAATAGCACATGAACTCACATGTGACAAAAGCCAAACTCAGAAGAGAAGAAAATGACAGTTACCAGAGGATGAGGCTGAAGAGATGTTACCCATAGCATACAAATTCTTAATTAGTAACAGGAGCAAATTCAAGATATGAGTTATACAACACGCTGATTGAAGTTAATAGCAATGTGTTTTTTCTTGAAAATTGCTAAGAAATACTGTAATGGTTTTACTACAGAGAAATGGTATCTATCTAAGGTGATGTACATATTAACTTGATGTTACCATTCCACAACGTGTTCAAATTCCAAAATACCATGGTACATCCATGATTGTACATAATTTTTATTTATCAGTAAGTTTAAATAATGTCTTTTTAATTGGGGGTGTGAAACAGGAACTCTGTCAAGAAGGTACCAAACTCACATAAACATTTATTTCTCAAATCCATATCTATTTTTATAAATGTGATGACAGTATTCTCATTCTGTTATGTCTCACTTATAGGGATAATTAATATTGAAAAATTATATTACCCTGCTTCATTCATAAACAAGCCCATGGAAAGCCGAGTTGTTAAAAGCACGGTATCATGCTTTGCCTCCTCAGAATTACAGGTAACTTGACATTTGCTCTAAATCATGTGTTCAGCAGCACCAAGAACTTCAGGCTCACTATACACAACTGTAAGCCACTCTGATTAGAGGCCAGAAGAAAGAAGAGAATAAAAACAGGGCTCAAGAGGCTACTGAAAAAAGAGATGTGAGATGATACAGGTGGCAGAGAAGTAATTTTTGTAACCCAACTTAGGGACAAAGGAATGAGGAAAACTAACTTGGGCTTTAAAAACATACAAACCTGCCTCAGCTTTTGTAAGAGAAATAGCAGAAACACACTTAAGAGGGGCTGGTAGATAGCTGTCCAGAGAAAGACAGGAAGGCCATAATCTTCAACACACGAAAGCAGAAAAGTAATGAATTCAAACCAACAGAAATAAAGAAAGAATTCCTCTGACGGTGTTAACACCCTAATAAAGCACAGTGCCTGTGCAAATGTCTCAGGGCACCTATGGGCCAGAGAGAACCTGACAAGTTCTCTCTTGAGCAAGGAACGGTCACTAAACACCAGTATATCAGTATCACTTAGTTTACAAATACAGAATATTATTCTATCCCTTCTGTGGCAGTGGAAGGAAATCTACATCTAAGCCCTCTCACACACATGTGACCGTGAGAAGGAAATCTACATCTAAGCCCTCTCACACACATGTGACTGTGAGAAGGAAATCTACATCTAAGCGCTCTTACACACATGTGACCGTGAGAAGGAAATCTACATCTAAGCTCTCACACACATGCCGGGGGAGGAAATCTACATCTAGCGCTCACACATGTGACTGTGAGAAGGAAATCCACATCTAAGCTCTCACACACATGTGACTGTGAGAAGGAAATCTACATCTAAGCTCTCACACACATGTGACCGTGAGAAGGAAATCTACATCTAAGCGCTCTTACACACATGTGACCGTGAGAAGGAAATCTACATCTAAGCTCTCACACACATGTGACTGTGAGAAGGAAATCTACATCTAAGCTCTCACACACGTGTGACTGTGAGAAGGAAATCTACATCTAAGCTCTCACACACACATGGCCGTGAGAAGGGTCCAACTGAGTTTGTCCTATAGAGTTTATAGGAAGTTTATTGAAAGAATAAACTTGAGAAACAACAGCCATGTTTAAGTTACCCTCACATTTTTATTTTTCATGCTTCCCCTTTAGTTTTTTTTTTTTTTTTTTTAACTTCCGTTCTCAGGCTTAAAATTCTCTGAAAAGCTCCCTTCAATTCATTCCAAGGGCAATACCTTCCTTTTCAGCTGCTGGATGCAGGCACAGATCAAGAAACCCTTGAACTTTATGGCAAGACTTCCTCAAGGTTCCTACAACTACAATAATGCACTTAGGACTACTGTTCTGCACTTACGTTACAACTCTTGCTACTAGCCACTGTTTAGTATGTCCATTTCTGGAAACCTGAGGTTTGTCATCCCTTTGTTATACAAATAGTTAAGAATTTTCACTAACATTTAGTCTGTAAATAACATCTTACAAAAAGTATGCTGTTCTCCTATGACATTCTTTGTATTAATTAAGGCCATTCTTCATCTTAATTCTACCTTTCAAGGTATAGTTTCATATAAAAGCCAAAAGTCATTTGGGGTAAATGTTAAGTAATGAATGTGACATTCCTGAATAATGGGGCCCCTAGCAACATCACTTGAATAATTATTCATAGTTATTTCTAGTTTATATGCAAGAAAAGCAGATATTTAGTAGGGGATCTAAAACCAAGAAAACAGCCAATAAAAAGTAAAACGTTGTGTCTTATGTACACAAGAAAGCCAAGTGCATGTTCTGCTTAGCCTACCCTCCTTCTATGACAGGCATCAGACTGACTACTTAATCTGTTTTAAGAAATCTGTACTGAACTCACATCATCTCCCCCTCATACCATGGAGAAACATCAACAAAGCATGGCATGCATGGTATGAGTTTGATCTGTATCAATTAATACCCATCAATGTCAATGCCTTTGTAACAGTCGCCATGAGACTAGCAGAACCCATGGATTCTTAGGCATCTTGTTTTGGTCAATTTTACAGTGTCTTCAACAATAACAGGATTACTCAAGGATTTTGTTTATTATCCACAGGACTTGACCTGATTGGTCATATACGGTATTTCATTTACAATGATTATTTTTTTCAACTTTGACAATATTTATTATAGTTTTAGTAAAGACATTCAGCTCAGTCATCTCTCCTCATCTTGACCTCAGGTTAATATGCCATGTGAGCCAAGTAAAGAATATGTAGGAGAGATTTCAACAAACAGTAAAATGGACAAATGAACAGTTGGCCTGCATGAAAGTTAAATTTATATATTTTGATATACTTAAGTCATGTAAGAACTAACAGTGCTATGTACATTTCCATTATTTTACTTGGGGCTTATTAGTAAACCTAAATGTACTGAACAAAATGTTAGGAATATCCGAAGGCTGCTTCTTGGAAGTTACAATGATTATTTTTTTTTTAATGTATAAAAAACTAACAAATGGACTTGGTTAATGTAAAATTTTCAAAACCACTTGAGAAGAAAATCAAAATCAAACCGATCAGCATGTATTTATTCTGAAGGACATAGATTCTAAAAATATACCTAAATGGATATATGGAAGTGATCTCAAAGTGGAAGGCGATGCTGGAAGGCTGACTTGTTCCACCTTAAAATATATTCCTACATCATCAGATACAGTACGCCTTTAAATGTTAGCCACATTATGTTGTTACTATGTTCAAAATCTTACCACTTCAAAAAGGCTAAAATTATTCATAGTACATACTGCAAAATCTTCATATATATGAGTCAAGTGTACATCAGTACATTCACTAAAATTGGAGTCCTTCTAATGACCTGCCAGACCCTACGGCAGCAAGTCCCCTTAGCCACACCTCACTCACCAGCTCCTGGCTTGTCTCCGATCGCTCTCTGGTCCCTCACTTGGCTCTCACCTCGCCAGTGATCTTGCTGCCCCAAGGTCACTGCATCTGCTATCCCTCCTTCCTCAGGGTCAGCTAACACTCTTTTCCTCTTCCTGCTCAGATACGAGCCTTCCCTGACCAACCTTGTTAAAAGGGCAAACCCCTAGTCATTTCCTTGCTTGTATTTTTCTTTTATTACCACGTGGTCTGACTGGAGTGTAAAACTTAAAATCTCTGGATAGAAACCTTTCACTTCTGTGCTCCAGAGAATTCCAATCTCTGCACAAGGCAGACACTTGAGATAAAGAGACTAAACAAACACTGGCATAATCTCGTTGTTTTTGTTTCTATCCTATCTTTATGTATACTCCATGAGGACAGGGACTGGTGTCTTCCACTTTTTATATCCACCAGTACCTAAAACAGAAGCAACAGCATGGCATGAACTCAAGAGACTTATGAATGTTCTCAATCCTCGAGAACAGAAGGAAAACGTCAAGTCAGGTCTGAGTATTCCCAACTTCCTGTGTGGCTCTAGAATAATGCAGCCTGATGGTGGCTGTCTCATTCACATTTTCACCAGCGACAAATATCTACCTAACCCTGGTATATAGCCTGAAGTGCAGTTAAAAACAAAAATGGCATGGAAAGATGAATGAAGAAACAGCACTGCTTCTTTGGTCATTTAAAAAAAAAATGGATGCTTATGGTGCAAAATTATCAAAATATGGAACACAAATTTACTTTCATTTTCCAGCATTTTTCCTTGCTTATTAATCAATTGTTAAAGTGTTTTTTTGCAAAGCTTTTGCCCTGTACTTCTTGTTCAAACACTGGCACTAAGTCCTAACATTGAATCAGGTGATATTTACTTTCTTGGCAAACTGGCATAATAAAGGCTTCTTTTGTTTTCTTTCTTTCACGCTGACTTCAGTATACAGAAAGTAAGAATGGTAAATAGAATAGTGTGTGGCTTCTATAAAATGCAAGACTCTCAAGATAAGGCCCTGTTTTCAACACCAAAAACAAGCAGACTCATTCTGTTGCCAACCATGATGCTATTGTATGGATGCTGTGTGGTAGGACCAGAGTAATCACTGCTGGCACCTCCCTGGAGATCAGGACAAAATCCTTCCAGTCAGCCAAAACAATCAGAGGTCCCTCACCCTTCCTGTGATTACACAAGTAAAGCCAGAGAAGGTCAGCAGTACCAGACATTCATTTCCTGGCCTCTCTTGAGCTTACTATATTGGGTCAAAATGGACTAGAGTTTGTTTTACATAAGAGCAACTCATCTATAGCTTAATCCAATTTTACAGATATCACAGATAAATCCATAGGAGGAAACTACCACATCTAAAGGCAAAGAATTATAGTATTCCTTTCAAAATCAGCCAGCTATTTTTAAAATACAAAGAGGATGCTTCAGAAGAGGTTAAGAGCTTACTGGCTCCAGAGCTGGACTCTAAGAGGCTGAACTCACATCCGCAGTGTCTGATCAGTATAATTTATGCACTGCTTACAAAATTATACTAAAAGGTCTGAAGGACAAGAAAGAAACACATTAGCACGGCCATTCCTAGACTGGAACAAGCTAGGGAGTCCTCCACATCTCACAGATAGCAAATTCCAAACCACAATCTGCACAGGACATGATCTCCCTGAGGTGCTTGAGATGCAACTGCCAAAAAAAAGGAGGCCAAGCATGTTGCTCTGTAGTCCTCACCCCAACATTACATAAGCAGAGATTTCTGGGCCTGTTGGTATTCAGCATGTCTGAATGTCTCATACTTATCTTTTAAGGGTGAAAGGCACTGCTTGAAAATCTACTGGAGGGGGGTGGTGGACTGACAATAAGGCCTTTAGAGTCTGGGAGCCCTGAGTTCACATTCTAAATCTGTTGAGATAACAGAAGCAATCGTGCCCTGGCAACAACAACAACAACAACAAAAAGTCGGTATCCAATACAGGTAACAATTACTGTTACTTATTAAAGAACAGTACAAAAAAGTATTAAAGGAGTGATTCTCCAAATGCACAGCGTTTGGGGCTCAGGAAATGGCTCAGTGGGCAGTAACCATTGCACAAGCATGGCTACCTGAGTTCAGGTCTCTAGCAGCTACATAAAAGCTAGGCATGGTAGCACATGCCAGATAAACAAAGACAAGTAAAGCTATAAAGTTTGCTGGGAGGCCAGTGTAGCTGAATCAGGGAGCTTCAGATACAGTGACATCCTGTCTCAAAAAAAAAAAAAAAAAAAAAAAAACAGGTAGAAACTAATAATAGAAGATACCCAATTCTGACCTCTGACCTCCATACACAGACACACAGATACATACACACACATAATGCACACATATGTGCATATTACATACACAATATAAAAATACATAGCTAAGAACTATAAAAATTTAATATGATGGTATACAGGCTTTTATTTTGTTTTATTTTATCTTGCAGATCATCCCCTTGTCCAAATACAAAAGCACATCTTATAAATTCACTTTGTCCTTCAGGCACTAAAGGCAGGGTACTCACAACACAATAGGTTTTCAAAATTCTACAAACTCTCTTTATGAATCACTGGTCAAGGGCCATTAGGCACTATGTGGCACAGCTGCAAACCACACCTGCAAAAGAAGGTGACCATTGCCAGACAGGAGCAAAGGAGGCTCACCTGCTTGATTTTATTCCGGGAGTTAGTGATACGCTCTGTGATGCTCTGGTAAGTGCGAATGGCCGTTGTCAGTTCTGTGTAGTGTTGAACGATCAATTCATCCAGGTCACGGTCACACTTCTCATAGGCTTCTTCAAGGCGACCTTTCTCGTTTTCTCTATCCTCAACATCATCACTAATAGACAGAGTCCTGGTGAAGATAGTTTATCATGTCAAACTTCAAAGCAACAATCAGAAGAACAGTATCCAGTCAATACACCAGCACATTCATACTACAAACAAGGAAATGACATGAGGCACCAGAAGATACTAAGTAACCTTCAAGGCTGATTCCACCACCCACCTAAGTACATGCACAGGATGCCTAGTCACAGAATCCACCCTTCATCTATCCTCTTGACCCTGAAATTATAATAATCTGCACAAATAGCATGGATATGAGGGAAGCTGGGCAGCTCTGGATTTGTAAGAATTATGGTAATTTCTAACAGGTCTATTCTTCTTACAACTCTGGCTAACAAAACCTACAGAACATCTAGAGAGAGGTCCCTTCTCCAGCCCAGGACACCGACACATGGAGTCGTCCCAGAAGTGGCCCACCCCTCAAGACTTCTTGCTAAGGAAGATAATAAATATCGTTGTTTAAGTCACTTCTGGGTAGCTTTCTTTCATATATAGCTGAAGTGTACTAAGGGATAAAATTTCTCTCACCAGCCATGTGGTGGTGGTGGCGCACGCCTTTAGTCCCAGCACTCGGGAGACAGAGGCAGGGGTAGGCAGATCTCTGTGAGTTTGAGGCCAGCCTGGTCTACAGAGCTAGTGCCAGGACAGGCTCCAAAGCTACACAGAGAAATCCTGTCTCAAAAAAACAAAAGAAAAAAAAAATAAAATTCTGTCAACAATGAACCACCTTCTAAAGAGCTCATGTGAATGGTCTGAAATAGGAACAGAGCCCCCAGTAGCCTGGGGATAAGGTCATATTAATTCTAAAATCTGTTACAACAGCAATAACCTAAGGCTGCACTACAAGACAGAGCCTGCATTCACTATTCTTCAAACAGCACCAACAAGATTGATAGGAATCAACAATAACCAGACAATGAGATAGGTACACTTATTAAAAAATCTTTCAATAACTCAGTTTGATACATGGGCCACGGATCTTTGTTTCCTCCATTATCTTTCTTGGATAATTTTTTTTAATTTAGTATTATAATAAAGAAACCTTTTTCTCTTATCTGCTCCCTGTGGTAATTTAGAGTTTCATTAAATTCCCTTGGATTTGTCAGCTTATACATTCAGCCTAGTTTATTTCATTTATCTTTTTTAATTTAGGGAGGGGGGTATTTTAGGCTCTCAATGATGGATGCAATCAATTATAAGTCCATCATTAGAACTGCTTTCAGAGATGGTCTGTCAGCAAATCAATCACGTACCCACTTCCAGATACTTTCAAGCAAAATACTTCTCCAAACTGTCACTCAAAGCAAGGGGTCTTAATTCATGAGCCACACAATATATAAAACTTCTTTTTCAATTTAGAGGGAAATTCAAGAGGCCTGTCTGTGACTTCAATGTACCTTCCAAAATGAATTCTGTAAATGTGTTAGGGATGCCAAGAGATCAAGTGTTGCATGAAATGAAACAGTCCTGGGAGCTATGAAGGGCAGTACCAGGCCAGACCCTATTCCCTCATCTGTAAACCTAAACCAGACGAGTTCCGATTCGGGTAGAGGACAGGCAAGTATTTACTAAAGTAAATCTCAAAGGGAGAAACACAAAAATCACCCTCAATATTTGGTTCTGAGTATCTTAGCATGTCTCTCTGTTGTTTTTATGATATATAACTTTGCTCTTTAAATCTGAAACCTTCCAGGATGTTAATCTAAAGAGCAATCTAAAGAGCCTTCGATTCATCAACTGAGCCATTGGTAAGAGTTTCTAGATAGTTCACTCCATCACTTCTATAGTGCTATACAGTATGAGCCTGCCATTTTCACAGTACCTTCCACATTCTCCTTCCCCCTCACATACATACACACTGCCATTTGTGGAAGGAAACATGCCAAACATCTCACACTGTTTACCTTGACTAGTCACAATTACCATTAAGGAAAATGTCAGGCCCAGGGAGGACACCTTCTCCGGCATGAGCTGTCACCACAATGCATTACTGGATCATTAGGAGTTACTTAGGAAAGAGAAAGGGTTACTAAAACAAAGATTAGAAGTAAATGGAGTCCACAGGGGATCTTTTCTCCTATTTTCATTTCCAAAGGAAATATTTATAGAAGAAGTATCCTGTGCCAAGTTTGACTCACACTAAAAGTTCATCCTCTTCCTTTTGAAGTAACCTGAGATGAATGACAGCTAGTCTTTACTCAAATACATAAAACTCTAAAAATACAAATTGTTACAGTATTTTTAATTAGCAAAGGGAAAGGCAGTAAAGGTAATAAAAATAATGAAGACCTCTAAATTTTAGAGAGAATCACACATGTTTAAAAAAAAAAAAACAGCTTTATTTAGCACTTTGTCCAATATGTGTCCACTCCTCTGGGGCCTGCTGTTATCTTCCTTTCCACACTAGAAGCAGCTGAGCTTTGAAGCGATTAATTTGCCCACCTCACACAATTAGAATAAGAGATCCTAGAAGAACTGAAAACCCAAGTCAGTCTGCTTACGGATTAGGCTTTAAACAACTGCAGAGTAATTATAATCCATCTCTGAACTCTACACAGATTGAGCTCCATATTCCAACATACCTACTGCCCAGTTTCACAGAATGGAAGTCTGCATGTGCCACCATGTCAATGTCAAAAGGTATAAGGTTTTGAAGGCTATTTCAAAACGAAGAGATATCAGGTATCACAATATAGGCACAATCATTCTAAACTACATTTTTGTTCTTCTCAGGTTTTGTCTTTGTTTGTTTTGAGGGTTATTTTCTTTGTTTGTTTTCATTTTCTAAGACAGGGGCTTGCTAGCCTGCTCAAGCTAGCCTACCAATCACCATGTAGCCAAGACTGACCTTTATGGTCCCCCTGCCTCTGCCCCCCCCCCAAGTGTTCATACCCGAGCATCACCACCACAATGAAGTTTCAGTGAGAAAATGATCTATGACCTGGAGGGCAGTCATTGCTGATGAGACATATTTCACGTGTGAAATGTTAATACTAAGCCCAGAAATGTATACGTCACCCATTGCCCTGTGTTTTGAGCATGTGAGGCCTAGAGTACAAACAGAAGCAATGCAGTGGGCACACAGTAAGCACTGTCTGTGATAGCGTTAACATAGTACAGTGAACTTGACAGTATCACGACCCTTTATCTGATACATGAACAGAGGCCCACAGATGGGAGTATTTGCACACATGCACGAAGCTAATGGAATTTGAGCTGAAATTAAAGCTGAATACACTTGACACGAAAGCCCAGCTTCTTTCCACCATACATAGTAATAGCTATTTTTCCTGCCTCAAACCCAAACTGAGGACTTCACTCTAATCATGTGACAGCTCACCAGTATTTCTTCCCCTGCCCCCCAACCAGGGGCAGGAGGGGAAAAGGTAGGGTTCAACACAGTTCTGGAACTCACTCTCTACAGAGTGACCCAGAACTCACAGAGATCTGCCTGCCTCTGCCCACTACATGCTGGGATTAAAGGTGTGTGCCACAGCCACCCAGCTTTTTTCTTTTTAAGAAACGCTGCTGGACCTGACAAAAATATTTTTAAATACAAAAAGGCAGAAGCAAAGGACAATGAATTAGGAAGACACTCCAAAATGCATTCAATTACACAACCACTCTTTAGATTTTGCCCCTATTTCATGTAAATCTTGATTCTAATTTACAAACTACTAATTTTACACACTGGAACACAAAAGGGTAAGCTAGACTGCAGTGACAATGGATACAGAGACGTTACTGGATCACTAAGAATTTTTCACTATGACAGCTCTGGTATTTTACATGATGAATTACATCTCTAACCAAGACTAATTAATCTCCAGGAAGGGATGTGTTTACCTAACAAGCTAAAGGTCCAGCAAATCCTTCTAGCAGGAACAAGGATGGTAGATGATGCCAGTGGATTCACAAGCCACCAGCTCCCACTGAGTCCCACAGACAAGCATTAAAACATAGAATAAAGATCCAGAGACTGGAAATGGAATTCCTTGGTTTCATTTCTTTTCGTCTTTTAAACAGCAGCTTCAGTCTTTCAGTTGCCAGACAAATGCCGTGAAAGGAAAATATGCACTCACCATCAGCAACTCCTTCCATGGAGAAATACTGCTCACTATGGACTTTAGTAGAGAAATGGAGTCCAGACAGATACAAGAGCATAAAAGTCAATGCTCTTGCTGTAAAAGATCAAAGGAAGCGCAAACAGAAGGGAAAGCATACCTACGACTATCTGGTCACTCACAAGACAGCCCATCACTCACCGAAGCTAGAACTTGCAATCAAAGACAGAGGAAAAGAGAAAGAACTAAACAACCAAATCTAGACTGCCGATGGAAACACACCAAACCCTTCTTGGGACAGTCAGCAGGCATGTCACACAGAGGCACTCAGAGTTTGCAGAAGGAGTTCGGTGGGACAGCACTTGCCCAGCGTGTGCAGGGTCCTGGGTTCAGTCCACAACAGTGCACAGAAAAGTTCACTCTTCTTTCGCCATAATACTTACTTGTGCAAAGAAATTGAAGATATTATCTGGGTGTAGCAGTGCACATCTTAAGCACCAACACTCAGAAGGCAGAGGCAGGCGGATCTTTGTGAATGCAAGGCTATCCTGGTATACATACAGAGTTCCACAACAGCCAGGGCTACCATAGAGGGAAATGGTGTAAAAGTAAAAAAAGAAATGTAGAATACACAAGTTTATAAACTGAGCAAGGTATGGGTAATCTCAACACTTAATGAGGTGGCGACAGGAGAATCAGAGTTGAAGCCAACCTCAGCTACAAAGTGAATCTGTGGCCAACCTGGGTTATAGGAGGCCATCTCAAAAACAAAGCAAGAAAACAAAACCATAAGAAGTATCTGCAAACGCAAATAGGGCTTTGCAGTGGGACAAGCCAGCATTGTCTTCTAATTCCAGACACTTCGAAACTAAGGCCGGAGCATTATGTCTTGAGGTCAGCCTGAGCTACACAGTGAGGCCCTGGCTTGGAAACCGAAATTCTT